CGGCTGCTCAGCTCGGGCTGGACTCGAACCGCTGTTGCTCAGAGCTCAAACTCTTGAGCAAGCTCTTAACCAACTGAGCCACTCGGCCGGCCCAAGTAATGGTTTTAATCTAGGTGTGGAGGGTGCATCTCAGTGGCCCATGTGGTGATCAAACCAGTAACCTTGGTGTTACGAGCACTGTGCTCTAATCAACTGAGCTAACCAGCCTCTCCTATACGTATTATTCTGTTTTTATAGCAACCTCACGAGGTAGATATTGCCTTCATTTTACAAATGAGGAAACTGAAAATTAGAGCAATTAAATAACTTTTTGAAGTTCACACAACTAGTGAGTGGCAGACTAAGAACCAGCTCTTTTAAACTCTTAAGGACTACTATCCAAAGCACTACTGTCATTAGTGGAATTTTAACAGGACTCTCCATTGTATATTTAAGCTACTGACTTATTTCTTCATCAAGATATGACTGTACCTTTCCTTGATACAGATTATTGTTTTTTTTATCCCTTTCCCCCATCTCTCTGCGTTATTTTTGTTACATCCATTTATTCTAAGAAACATTTGAATGTCTCTGGCATAGAGGCTTCAGTTGGGGTCGTGGAAGAGCAACTGTTTTAATTAGAAGCAAGCCTTGGGTTTCCTACTCCATGTAGCTTTGGTGCTTTCAGTCAGTCTCTATCTGAAATTAGCACATTCATCTGAACTATTTGATGTGATTACATGGTACTCCATCTTATCGCTTTATGTAGATTTGGAAATTCACCATTGTTTACCAGAAAAAAACTCAGTGAAATTCTGTTGGTTTTATTCAGAAATTGAGAAGATTCAGAAAGGACTTTCAAAAAAGGATGATGAGGAGAATTACTTGGATTTATTTTCTCACAAGAACATGAAGCTGAAGGAGCGAGTACTGATTCCTGTCAAGCAGTATCCCAAGGTAAGACAAAAGGTGCCTCATTTCTCTGAGTTGTCTTTATGAGTGTGAGTCATGGGCTGTCATAACAAATTATGGAGATTGGTGCATCAGGAACTAAAGTCTGAGAAGCTTCTCTTCTATACTTGTGTACTTATGTCTAGCAGTTGGAGCAAGTCCATTACTAATAGCATAGCTATAGCCAGAAAGGAAATAAAATCGTCTTTTTATTATCAAAAAGTTTCTTTCTCAAATGTTTGTTTAGGGTCTAAGTTCAAAGGAAAAAATTTGAACCCTGAAGAGTTCTGTTAAAAGATTGACCTGAAATCTAAATAAAGGAAATACGTATAACAAATTCTTGGCTAAATGAAGTTAATTTTATTTCTTACCCAAAGCTTTACTTTTGAGTAGATGCTTTCTCCTCCTCCTTCTCATCTCCTTTTTCCTTTTTTCAGGAAAGCAATTAGTTATATTTAGTTTACCAAACTAGTACTACAAAAGGGTGCCATATGTCTGTTGTGAGGTGACGTCCTTAAAAATGTTTATGTATGTTAAAGTACTAGGGGTTGCAGTGTGATATTATGGAAGGAACACCAGACCGTATCAGGAATCCCAAATTCAAGTCTAGGAACTGCCACTTTCATAATCTTAGGCTAACCACTTTATTAGTACAGCCTCAGTTAATGTCCTTTAGTAAAACGGGAATGGACCTCTACCTGTTTTACAGGGTTGTTGAAGATAAAATGAGATAATACATGTGGAAATGTTTTATAGGAACATGTATATGTAGAAATCTGTTTTTATTTTCTGCCAGTTTAATTTTGTGGGGAAAATCCTTGGACCACAAGGGAATACCATCAAAAGACTGCAAGAAGAGACTGGTGCAAAGATCTCTGTGTTGGGAAAGGGCTCAATGAGAGACAAAGCCAAGGTAAGCTGACGTTAATGAGGTAAGATACCATAATGCCTTCCTGTAGCCCAGGGTCCAGTATAGATGCCTTATGGAAGCTAGCACTTGCATATGTACAGAATATGACTCCTTTAAATTTGCATTGGATGTAAGAGATTATAGACCAAGTTAATACACTTGCTTGGCAACCCTGAAAGCCTAGCTGTGCCCTGGTGATTGTTTTCTGATTTTTGACTGTGTAATAATGGAAACAGCAGGGACAGCTTTGGCATTAGGAATCTTGCTATGAAAAATTGGAAGGGGAGCTGTACAAAAACTTTCCCAGACTAGAAACACTAAAATTTGAATAGCATGTTCCCTTTGCAGTAACATGGAAAAGAGCAATAGTGTTGTTAAAAGTGCAGGTAAGTCTGAGGATTAGTTGTCTGGCTTGTTTTACAGTCAGCTGGAATGTGAGGCCCACTAAAAGAAGATATTCCAAAAGGAGCCAAGGGTAATCCTGACAACAGAACCTAATGTTTATTTTTTTCCGTGCCATAGCCTCATTCGTTTTGTACTCTGTGCCAAGAAACATCCTACCAAAAGAGAATAGTCTTAGCCTTCTAGGGTCAGGTTTTTAGATGAGACATGCCTGCTACAGCCTAAAAACTTACTCTTTCAGGCCTCCTTTTATGCAGCCTAATTGATGAACATTGTTTTCTCAGACCCTCTTTTGTCCACTCCCATTTCTCAACTAGAAGAATATAGTTAGGGCTGAAGTATGTTATTCTAGCAGCTAATGAGATTTACTTGAGATTTTTCTGCTCTCTATTCTGACTTCTTTGCTCCCCTAAAATTCTCCATACCATATAAGCAGATAAGAAGGGCTGGTGATGAACAGCTCTACCTGGGATTTAAAAGCATATGCTTGACAATCAGTGAATGAATAAATCAATGATAGGCAAACAGTATGGAGATTCCTCAAAAATTTTTAAATGGAGCTGCCATAAGATACAGCAGCTCCACTTCTGGGTATTTATCTGAAGAAAACAAAAATACTAATTCAAAAGATATATGCACCCCTGTGTTCATTGTAGCAATTACTAGTGTTAGCCAAGATATGGAAGCAACCTAGACGTCCATCAATAGATGAATGGATAAAGAAGAAGTTACGTGTGTTTATATATGTACACACACATACAAGAATATTATTGAGCAGTAAAAAATGAAATCCTGCCATTTGCAGCAACATGGATGGACCTAGAGGGTATTATGCTAAGTGAAATAAATCAGACAGAAAGACAAATAACCATATGATCTCACTTATATATGGAATCTAAAAATCAAAATAAATGAATAAACATATCAAACCAACTCATAGATATAGAGAACAAGCTGATGGTTACCAAAGGGGTGGGGGTAGGGGTATGGGAATAAAAATAAAAGTAATTAGTTAAAATTACTTTATTGCACTTTTTCTTTTCACTTTTATTTTTGTCAAAAAATTACTAAACATACAGAAATTATCAAATGTGACCCGTAACCAAGGAAGAAAATCAATTAATAGAAAAAGACCTAGAAATAATAGACATGGGATTTGCAGACAAGACTTGAAAATAATTATTATTAATATAATAAATTTGTTCAAGGACGTAGAGGAAAGAACATTATTAGGAGAAAGATGGAATACATAGAAAATGAAAATGTGACAGCTGAAATGCAAATTTCACTGGGTGAGCATAAGATAATGTAAAGAGGGAAAAAAAAGGGTGTGGAAATCAGAGAACTTAAAGACAGGACTATTCAGGCCAAAGTATAAAGATAAAAAAAGACTGAAGGACTATATTTAAAAATTGCATGTTTGGGGCCGGCCAAGTGGCGCGATGGTTAAGAACTGGCTTGGGATGCCAGAGGGCCCCGGTTCGGATCCCACATATGAGGGCAAGTGACACTGCCCTTCACAGCTAAGATGCTGAACAACAGCTCAACCTGGAGCTGGGCTGCCCTGAGTCGCCAGCGACGGCATAGGCTGCAGCCCCTGTGGCAGTGGGTTGCCATGAGCTACCGTGTGTAGCCAGCAGCCAGCGTGAGCGGCCAGCAGCCACAGTGAGCTGCCTCGCCAGGGAAGAGCGCAATGATGGTGCCAACTTGGGCCAGTGAAGCAACATCCTCCACAACTAGACTGAAGAACAAAAGGACAGCAACTTTTCTGTTCCCCTTCCCCCAATTCCCCAGCACTGTTCCCATCCCCCCAATAAAAAATCTTTAAAAAAAAAAAATTTGCATGTTTGTAACAAATAATATATGCGGGAAAATGGGAAAAAAAGAAGACTGAAAGAAACTGAACAGAGCCTTAGTTACCTGTGAAAGCATTATTATGCAACCCAGCATATGTGCAATTATAGTTGTAGGAGAGGAGAGAGTCGGGCAGAAAACTAAGAAAAAAAATAAAAGCAAATGCTTGGCAATGAGTGAGTGAATGAATGAATGGATGAATCAGTGATTGGTAAGCAACTATTATCTGAATGGAGATTGGAATTAATTTTGTCCCTTCTGTACTTTCTAATAAGCGCTCCAGTGAATATGCCAGGATTCAGGACAGTAGTTTACTTAGCAGCCGACCAATTGCAGGTTTATGTTCAGCAGGTTGTGTAAATTACTGTTCTGCGGAGCCTGTTTTCCTTTCTTCTTAACTTTACTGTTTTTCTTCGATGTTAGGGTTATTTCTTGCTGTCTCTTTGGCCTTAAGGTAAAGGTGTCATTTGCTCCCTAGTCCATGTGACATGATTTTTTTTTTGCTTTTTCCACAGGAGGAAGAGCTGCGCAAAGGTGGAGACCCCAAATATGCCCACTTGAATATGGATCTGCATGTCTTCATTGAAGTCTTTGGACCCCCCTGTGAGGCTTATGCTCTTATGGCCCATGCTATGGAGGAAGTCAAGAAGTTTCTAGTACCAGTAAGGAAATCCATGTCCTGTGTCATTTGAGCAAGAGAAAACTGGGATCTTGTGCTGTTGCTAAGGCGGGGTGCTTAACTAGAATCTCTGCATAACCTTAAATTGCATATCAATTTCTACACTTATGTTTATTTTCCTGAAGTAGTCCATTTCATATACCTACTTTTCAAAGCACTGTGCCCCAAGGCCACTCTCCCATCTTTGTCTAATGTGATTTTAGTTATATACTAGTGCCTTAGGTCCAGTGTGTCTGGCATTCTAACATCTGGTTAACAGGGTCTTTCCTAAACTAAGTATTTTGGTACTAGTGTGGAACCAGGAGGTTATGATAGGAAAATTACTATGATGGTCATAAACCTGCTCTGCACTCAAGGGTGTATGTTTTAGACTCTTTAGAGAGTCTAGAGCAGCGGTTCTCAACCTGTGGGTCGTGACCCCTTTGGGGGTCGAACGACCCTTTCACAGGGGTCGCCTAAGACCATCGGAAAACAAAAAGATACTTACATTACGATTCATAACAGTAGCAAAATTACAGTTATAGAGTAGCAACGAAAATAATTTTATGGTTGGGGGTCACCACAACATGAGGAACTGTATTAAGGGGTCGCGGCATTAGGAAGGTTGAGAACCGCTGGTCTAGAGGATAACAGCAAGAAGCCTCTATTATCCAATGTTAATGGATTGAATTTCCTAGAGAAGTTTACTCAAGCAGAGTTTGATTTGAAATAGACATGATTATTACAGGCTTGACTGATGATGATATTAAACAGATTGGTGTGTAGCTCCTTTGAGAATGTAACTGAAGCCCAGGAAGAATTGGGACGGACCAGGTTACCTGTCTTGTTTATTACCGCCTGGTCAGAGGGTCCATTTTTTGAAGAAGTAGAAAATAGTGCAATTTTGGCCATTTAGCAAGGCTTTGTAGTTGTTAAAATTAACATACTACTATTAAATATTTAATAGCCAAAGATGAACCTGGAACCTTAGAAAGTTTTTGGAATACTGTTCAACTAGAATTGAGTAAGCAGCTAATTTCATCAGTAAAACTATGAGAAAGTGAGCTATAGTTCTTGGTTTTCTTATATATATAAAATGAGGGAGTTAGAACTAAATGTGGTGTCAGGATGTGAGAATTGGTAGAGCAAAAAGTTATAAGCAGTGTGTACCGATAATGCTGAGCTCCAGGGATTCCAACACTGTCTCAGATGTCTCAGCAGCTGCTTTGCTTCCAAGTACCTCGTCTTCATTAGAATGTTCAACATGTAACAGCCAATTTTACATATCCTAGAGTAAAATCCAGAGCTGGTCAATTTTCCCTTAAGGGAATTCTTTTGACTCTTTTTAAGGTGTTGTATTGAAGCATCCTGAGCCATTCAGTTTCTGAAGGACTACAGGGGAATGCCCATCTCCTCTTTATCGTTAGTCTCAGCATATTTCTCAAAAGTGATAGGTTTACAAGGCTTCGATTTAAGCAGCTTTTCAAAAACGATGCATGCCAGGGAGATCTGGGTTTTCTCACTATTGATGTGGCAGTTGGGAGACTGAGCAAATTGAGTGTCATTGGTCACTTGATTCTCCAGTGTGTCTCAAACAGCAGTAATATGTAAGGTAGGAGAAGGTGAAGAGCTGTAGAGAGTCATCTCTGGTGACTAGAGTCTTCTTAAAGCTGCATCCACCTGGAATGCATAAAAATGCATGAAGTATTAAGACTGAAAGGCTCTCATCAGGAAATATGTGAAAAGATTTGCAAGTGGCATTTGACTCAATTCTTCCCTCTTGTGAAGAAAAAAAAGGGAGCCTACTTTTGCGTCCATGACCAGAGCCCTTCATTTTCCCCTTAGAACCATTAACTATACCAGAGGCTCCCTGGTATAGAGCACTGGACTGGGAGCTTTATCTGTGTCATCTTGGACGAGTTGTTATTTCACTTTTCTTAGCCTCAGGTTCCTTGTTCATCCCAAACATATGTTAAGTATCTGGTGGGTGCCTAATACAGTTCTAGGGTCTGAAGTTACAAAAATGGCTCCTAGGGAGCTCACAATCTAGTGAGAAAGACAATTCTAAAATGAGGTGGTAAGCTCTTAGGTAGAGAAAATCAACATGGCCCTGTGGGAAAAGTGGAGGGACACGGGGTGGCATCCAGAGAAAGTTTTTCAAAAGAGATCATATTTTATTTTTTAAAGTAGTGGAAAAGCAGTTCATTAGAAGAAAAAGTACACTTCAAAGAAGTAGAAGCTCAAAGGGCCAAGGGCAAGGGCCAGAGCCAGGGCCAAGGGCGACATTGTTAGGAGAAAAAGTACACTCCAAAGAGTTTGGAGCGGGCTGAGCAAAAGAAAAAGCTCAAAAGGCCTCAGAAGAGGTCATATTTTAGACCTTTTGAGTTTCCTTTGCTCGGCCCGCTCCAAACTATTTGGAGTGTACTTTCTTTTCTAATAATGACCCTTGAGCCATTCTATACTTTTTGTCCCGCTTCTACTTCTTTGAAATTTATTTTTTTCTCCTAATAAACGCCTTTTCTGCAACTTTAAAAAGAAAAAAAAAAGAGGTCATATTTTAGATTAAGTCTTGTAAGAGTGGGTTAGAGTCCCTCAGGTGGGCCCCCACAAAAGGCAATGTAGTCTTAATGATTCAAAGCCTTGATTTTGGTCATTCGAATTCACATCTAGAGTCTGCCGTTGACTAGCTCTGTGTCCTTAGACTGGTTCCTTTATACTACCTGAATCTGTTTTCCCAACTGTAAAATGGGAAGACCTCCTTCAGGGTTATTTGAAAATTAAACTGAAAAATCTATGTAAAGATTATTATATAACGCCCAGTGCATACAGCTTAATTAATGGTGTAGTGGCTTTTATTATTCTAGGAAGAGGAAACTATTTGCAAAAATGGATGTGTGGGGCCGGCCGAGTGGCTCAGTTGGTTAAGAGTGCGAGTTCTGAGCAACAGGGTCGCTGGTTTGATTCCCACGTGGGCCAGTGAGCTGCACCCGAGCTGAGCTGCCAACAGGTGGCAGGATGACCCAGCCGGTGAAAGCATGTGCTCCTAACAGCAAGATTTCCGGTTCAACTCCTGCATGGGATGGTGGGCTACGCCCACCCACAACTAAGATTGAACACGGCACCCTTGAGCTGAGTGGCCACAAGCTGCCAACGGGCAGCCGGATGGCAATTGGACTTGGAGCTGAGCTAGCTGCGCCCTCCACAACTAAGATTGGAAAACAACAACTTGGCAGCTTGGCTGTTCCCCTTCCCCAATTCCCCAATAAAATCTTTAAAAAAAAAAGAAAGAATGGATGTGTAAGAGTATGCCAAGTTCTGAACCACAAGTTGTTCAGCATGGCTTGAAAGGAGGTTATACCTGGAGAGAGAATGGAAGTGATGAGCTGGAGAGCTGGGCAGGGACCACATCATGAAGAGGTATAACATTCTAATGAAGGACAAGGTACTTTCCTCAAAGGTGACAGGTAGGGTGCCATTTGACTTCAGAGATTGAATGACCTGAGACTTCATCTGGGCTTTCAAAGCTGTTCTTAGCATTCAGTGCTGATGTGGGCTAGATGACTTCTCAGCAGAACAGGTGGAGATTTTGCACATCACTCCTCAGTATCTTCCTTTTTTTTTTTTTTTAAGATTTTATTGGGGGAGGGGAACAGCCAAGTTGTTGTCCTTCAGTCTTAGTTGTGGAGAGTGCAGGAAGCTCAGCTCCAAGTCCAATCACCATCTGGCTGCCCGTCGGCAGCTTGCAGCTGCTCAGCTCAAAGTGCCGTGTTCAACCTTAGTTGGGGGTGGGCATGGCCCACCATCCCATGCAGGAGTGGAATCAGCAACCTTGTTGTTAGGAGCACGTGCTCTCACCAGCCGAGCCATCCTGCCACCTGTTGGCAGCTCAGTGGCAGCTCAGCTCAGGCACAGCTCGCTGGCTTATGTGGGAATCGAACCAGCGACCCTGTTGCTCAGAGCTAGCGCTCTTAACCAGCTGAGCCACTCGGCCGGCCCCTCCTCAGTATTTTTCATTTGCAGGATATGATGGATGATATCTGCCAGGAGCAGTTTCTAGAGCTGTCCTACTTGAATGGAGTACCAGAACCCTCTCGTGGACGTGGGGTGCCAGTGAGAGGCCGGGGAGCTGCACCACCTCCTCCACCTGTTCCCAGGTAAAAATAATGGAAGTAACCAAAAATAGGATATAAATTTGACGGCTCGTACCAACTCTGTCTTAGTGGTACTCTTACCTCCACCTTAGAAGGGGTCTCAGGATTTGTATCTTTCATCGAGTGGAATTGTAGATCTTGAGCACTTCAGCCATAGTTAAGAGCAGCAATCCTGCTGAAACTTCTAATTTTGGACATTTCTAGCATTTTTAAGTAGTCTCTGACTTTAGAATTTTACCTTTTATCACTGATCTTTATGGAGTATTCAGACTCTCCAAGGCAGTCCACCCATGAAACAGCTATAGACGCACTGTGGGGCTTGGGGAGTCTTCCATTTATGGGTCCTTTTTCCACCCTACCTCTGGGTTTTAATAATACTCTATTTGAGGCATCATAAAAAGCTAGTTAGCTCCAGAATTTGCAAACAAATTTAAACATGAAAGTAGTCTATTTATTGAAAAGCTCCATTTAAAATAAACTTTATTTTTGCAGGGGCCGTGGTGTTGTACCCCCTCGGGGGGCTTTGGTGCGAGGTACACCAGTGAGAGGAGCCATCACTAGAGGCGCCACCGTGACTCGAGGAGTGCCACCCCCACCTACTGTGAGGGGTGCTCCAACACCACGAGCACGGACAGCAGGCATCCAGAGAATACCTTTGCCTCCACCCCCTGCACCAGAAACATATGAAGAATATGTAAGAAGTTTGAACAATGTGCCATTTCCCAATACCTAGAAGGTTGCCAAAAGAAGTTGAATGTCAGGGCCTTAGCTCTTGGTGTAGGTGACAGGGACTGCTTGTAAGATTTGGAAATCCACGCTCTCTTCTACAGAATGTTAATGTGAATGTTAAGCTATGAGAAGATTTTTCCATTTTAAGCATGGTTTACTATGTATAGACCAAACAGGAAATAAGCTGTGCCTTGATGTACAGTGTTTTACTAAGTTATACGTACTACAGTTCAACTTTGTGCCTTATTTCCTGCCTAATGTTTAAAGGGGTTTTCTTGATTGGTTGTTTTGTTTCATTTTTTAAAATACTACTCTTTCTCTCTTGACTATCCCACAATGGGTATTAACATTTTGGAGGGAAATTTCATGTCCTGTTAATCTAAAAGCCTGCCATCCTCCCATGGGATATAATTACCTCCCCTGCTCTCTGTGATTCTGACTTTCTATTTCATTTTTTGTTGTTCTAGGGATATGATGATACATATGCAGAACAGAGTTACGAAGGCTATGAAGGCTATTACAGCCAGAGCCAAGGGTAAGTCAGCCAATAGAGGTGGTGTTTCTTGTATTAGAGATGGAAGGGAGGGAGTTGGAGGAACTGAGAGATTTCGGCAGCACAAATCTAAGGAGCAATATGGCTTACCTTTTGAGGGTATTTCCTCTGCTTTTGACACCTGTAAGACATACTTAGATCTGCAAGTTAGGATAATTGTGAACCTTATATTGTAGAATCTGGGAATAGCAGATGAACATTTCCTGAGCTGTGACTACATGAAACAAAGGGAAAATGCCTTTAAATTATTTTGATTTATTATTTAAAAATATCAAAACCACATTAAAGTTGTATAAAGGCTTAAAAGAAAACTAGAATCCCACTGCCATAACTTAGGTTTTTTTCCTGCACTTTTTTTTTTTATTAGTTTCTGGTGTACAAAACAATGCAGTAGTTATACTTTTCATCCCTCACAAAGTGACAACCCCTCTCCCCCAATCCACCGCTCCCCCACCCCCGATATCATACATATCTGTTACATTTCCATTGACTCCACTTCCCACTGCACTTTTCTTAGAAAATATTTTTTGTGTGTGTGTGTATATGTATCTTATCTGTGATTGATTGAAAAGGCATCTCCTAATTCTACAGTGGGAACAGAACAGTTCTTTTCATGTTTATTCTCTTCCAGTGGGCCCTGTGAATACACATGTATGTACACTATGGTTAAGATGGTCAATTTCAGATTATGCTTTTTCACTTTAAATAGTGTGATATCCATTTTTATTTGCTGTAGTTGTCACTTTTTTATGAGTACATAGTTATACATGTTTTAGAAATATTTGGTGATTTGGAGATGGTAGAATGAGCATGTTCCTGTATTATACATAGTAAAATGACTAAAATATGGAAATATTTGGGAGAAAGGTGAAACTGAAACATAGTTGCTATACAGTTGTCTTAACACTCTGTCTTTGGCTTTCAGGGACTCAGAATATTATGACTATGGACATGGGGAGGTTCAAGATTCTTATGAAGCTTATGGTATGTCTTTATTTCTGTGGTGGGGCAGAATGTGCAAGTAAGTGCCTGAGAGAATGCTGGATTATTGGGGATGAGACAGTCACACATCTTTGGAGAAGCCTTTAAAGGCCAAGATGTTAGTAGATGTGACAATAGGAATCCTACTCTTATTTAAATTTTTTGGTGTATTGTAGAGAGAGGGACTACTAAAGTGAGACAGTGGTACCATTATTCTTGGAAGGCTAAGCAGTGTCCTAAGCTAGGGCTCAGGTTCAGCTTGACCTGGTTGGAACAGCAGACTTTTAAGCTGATGTTGATGTGATTTTTTTCTATTTTAGGCCTGGTTTATGTGGCTGGGCCTTTGCTGCTGATACCTAGGCCACATGGGTGGATCATAAGAATTGAATTATACCCAACTCTTTGGCCCCACCTCACTTTTAAAAATAATTTTGGATCTCATCGAAAAGAATCTCAGTGTAGAGGAAATGCTAGCTAAAAGGGACCTGGATGGCAAGTAGCTAGCCAGAGCAGGTAGAGGCAAAAATAGCATCTGTTAAACTCAAATTAGAGGCTATAGGGCCTGGAGCCAATTCAGGGCAATACTGGCACCAAGATTCTTACTGTCTTAGCGATATCTCAACTCAGGCCTTGATCCCAAGAGAGCCATAGAGGCTGGAATGGCTGTAAGACCAAACTGCCTTCCCTGAGGCTTGGTTGAAAATACATTGCTCAGGAGTGTCCTCAAGAGCCAATTACGGCCTGATGTTAATGGACCCCAGAGGGAGTGCCACATGGCAGTGGATGCAGAGAGAGCAGCCTTTTAAATGTGAGGCATTTTCAACATACCTGAAAGAATTCCAGAGTCCTTGGCAAGGGGTTGAGCAGTTGACAGTTCATCTTAAGATAACTAGTTGACAGTCTCCCCTTTCCTCTAGCTGAAAAGGAGGAGCCACTTAAGACCTCCAACAGACAGACAAGCTTAGCCCAACTCCTCAGTTGCCATCAGCAACACTGCACTACTCTGCTCATATGCCACTATTTAGAAGGGTGGTATGATTGCCCTGGAGTACTGTCCTCCATCGGTGAGGCAGCACAATGGGGCCTCTGTATGTGTTGACTGAAGTGCATTTCTGTTTTGCCCGATAAAAGACTAGACTGCAAGAGGCAGGTTGCTCCTTATGCTCCTGGTATGAGGTTGCCATGGTTAATCTGTTCTGATTTCTGCCTTTATAAACAGAATTTGAAAAATAAACTATATTGTTAGTACCCAGAAGGCACTCGAAAAGTGATGGACAATTATACTAGGCATATAAACAGGCCTAGAGAGGGTTCTGTGAGACTTTAGATCCATATAGGGGATTTTTAGACTTAATAGTGATGGAGGCAGCTGTTTGTGAATGCAGGCAGCTGGAGAAATACTTCAGGAATGAACTGGCATGGGTAAAGTATGGGGCTGAGTGTGAAGAAGAAGCTTATGAACACAACTCATTTTTATGAGAGGCCAGCTCCAGAATTAAATGATCCTGTCCCTTGGGCTTTTCCCTGTCACAAAGGAAAACCATTTGAGGATGTTAGCCATGTTATCGGGCTTCTCTGGATTATTGGCATAAGAAAGGAGGTAATGAATTCTCCTAATCAGTGCTCTAAACACATTCGATTGGTACTTCCCTCCACCAGAGCAGTGGACCAGCTCTGCTGGTGGGGTGCCTCATGAAATGTGGCCCTTGCTTGCTTCTCCCGGAGAGCCAAAGGACACTTCTCCACAGGGAAACCTGACTTGGCTGTTGTGTGGAAGAGAACTATCTGCTTCCAGTCTGAAAGACTTTCCAGAAGTTGTCATCTTACCTGAGCTGTGTGGCAAATTGCTTTGGGAACAGGAAAGGGGCATTGTAGACCCACTGAGGTTGATTTTCTCACTGTCTCAGCAAGATGTCAGGTTTATCACAGTTTGACGGCTGGAGTATAGATCATGTTGCCTGTGGAGAAACTGCTGGAGATTACTCCAAGCCTTTCTGAGCTTTTTCCTTATGCCCGTCTACTCAAAAGTGCGTTCCACTTGGGAAATCGCCTAAGCCGCTCAGGAGGGTCAAGCAGTAGGAAAAGCAAGGACCACTGGGGAGGTGGCAAGACATTGGAAGCAAAGCAGTGTTTTTGGTGATCTTTACCAGGTGACTTACCCCTGCTCATCCCAAAATGCCACTGGCTCATGGTTTATAAACTATTCTTGCTTTCCCCACAGGCCAAGACGACTGGAATGGGACCAGGCCGTCACTGAAGGCCCCTCCTGCTAGGCCGGTGAAGGGAGCATACAGAGAGCACCCATATGGACGTTATTAAAAACAAACATGAGGGGAAAATATCAGTTATGAGCAAAGTTGTTACTGATTTCTTGTATCTCCCAGGATTCCTGTTGCTTTACCCACAACAGACAAGTAATTGTCTAAGTGTTTTTCTTCGTGGTCCCCTTCTTCTCCCCACCTTACTCCATTCTTAACTCTGCATTCTGGCTTCTGTATGTAGTATTTTAAAATGAGTTAAAATAGATTTAGGAATATTGAATTAATTTTTTAAGTGTGTAGATGCTTTTTTTCTTTGTTGTTTAAATATAAACAAATGTACCTTTTATAATAAAAAAAGAAGTTGAGTAAAAAAAAAAAACCACAAACCTGTTAGTTTCAAAAGTGACATTGCTTGCTTAAAGGTTCTGAAGTTAAGGCTTGTTAACTTTATCTTAGTTTTGATTTGAGGCATCCCGTAAAGTTGTAGTTGCAGAATCCCAAACTAGGCTACATTTCAAAATTCAGGGCTGTTTAAGATCTAAAATCACAAACGTTAACTGCAGTAGGTGCCACCATGTAAAAGTGAGCTCAGACGTCTCTAAAAATGTTTCCTTTAAAAGCACATGGCGGTTGAATCTTAAGGTTAAATTTTAATATGAAAGATCCTCATGAATTAAATAGTTGATGCAATTTTTAACGTTGATTTAAAAAACAACAACAAAATTAGGTTTGTAAAACTGACTTTTTCATTATGTGGGTTTTGAAATCTAGCCCCAGACATACAGTGTTGAGAGATACTTAGCAGGGAGTGGGTTTTGAAGAGATTGATTGGGGGAGAGGGGCGGGCCACCTGAATTGAATTTGATGCAGAGCTTTTTAGCCACAGTCTTTCAATAATAGTACTAATAATTAAGATTTCAGTATTTATTTTAAAAAGACAAAGTATTTTGTCCATCTGAGATTCTGCACTCCATGAAAAGCTCACCTGGACACTGGAGCCAAAAGCTGATGATTTTCTTAAGTTGACAGTTGTCAATATGGAACTGTTCCCAAGAGAGTTAGTCAAGTATGTCTCAACACTAGCATGATATAAAAAGGGACACTGCAGCTGAATGAAAAAGGAATCAAAATCCACTTTGTACATAAGTTAAAGTCCTAATTGGATTTGTACCGTCCTCCCATTTTGTTCTTGGAAGATTAAATGCTACATGTGTAAGTCTGCCTAAATAGGTAGCTTAAACTTATGTCAAAATGTCTGCAGCAGTTTGTCAATAAAGTTTAGTCCTTTTTTAATCAAAGTAAATGTGATGAATTGTCATTTTTGTGGGTGGACAATAAAATAGTTTTCTCTTTCAAATAAACTTAAATTAACTCTAAAGTTAATGGGCTTGTTAAAATTTGGAGACATTCTTAAAAATGGTGGGGGGGATTTTATTTTAAGTTTACCAAAAAAAATTTTATTGAGTTGTTAAGTTTTAGTTTAAAAATAACCAAAGCTTTTTCACCCCCTGGAAGTTGTTGAAAACAGTTTTATCTAATCCTATCACAAGATCTAATTTCTGGAGAGAAAAACCCAACTAAACCAAAACTTCAATTTAGGCCTCCATATTTAAAGTGCCAGCCACCCTAGTTTGCATCTTCTGTAGAGCCCCTGGGTGGTCCTAAGAGTGACACCAAACAATCACTGTGAGCTTGGAAAATAATAGCACCTGCCTATAGAGATGACAATTCAGCCAACCCTGGGTGCCCTTAAGGGTTTCCCTTCTTATTCCAGAAATACTGTTAAATCAGCTGGGCTGGGGCAGGATCTGGCGTGATAGGCTGGCCCTGAACTCCCTCCTGAGAGACCAAGAGAAGAAACGATGGAATTGGTTGGCCCTGTTTCCACTGTTCTATGTTAATTTTCAGGGTTCATGCCTTCTCTAAGGGAGCCACCTAAAACTGCTCGGGGGTGAAAAATCCTCTTGTATGAAGTGCCAAGCTGCCTGCAGCAGTGCATGATGGACATTTTTTTTCTTTTTAAAACACACCAACAAAAAAATGTATTTGTAGATTGTGATAAAGTGTAAATAACTGAATTTTCAACCATGGTTTGAAGTCAGCTTTCAGGGCATTATGTCTTGTTTTGATGAAAAGAGATCACTCTATACCCCCCTTTTTAAAGGAAAATTATCGCAAGAGAATCAGGATGTGTAAAGCTAACATGCATCGCAAAAAACCAAAGGTAACCTAAATGTCTGATTTTAATAGCACATATTTCTCTTTTACATAAACTGTGACAGCAACTTGCATAAACAATTCTTTAGCTGTTAATTTTAATGTAAAAACTTTGCAAAAGTTGTTTAATAAAAATAGCTGTAAAAAGAAAAACCATATGATGCCTTATAAATTAGCCATAACTCTTAATAATCCTGCCCATCACAAGTGAACTGTAATGTAACCTGGGCACAAAGTCTGACATCTTAAATGACACATTGTAAAATTTCAATGACTGTAGATTAGATCTGCTCCCCAAAGTAAAGCTTTCTGCTCAGCTATTTTAAAATGTACAAGGATGAGCCCCTGTAGGTCCCCATATTGATATTCACAATGAAATGTTACTTAAAATTTCCTTAAAGTTGCATGTTTCTCTCCTGTAATGTATAAACTGCATGCAGGATCTCTTATCTTTTATTTTGTATGTCTTTAAAACTTCCTCTTCGAAAGACTGATCTCCTACTTCTCCATTTTCAGGTCATTGAAAATTCCCGAGACGTTTCCTGGAGTAGAATGGGTAGTGAAGACCCATATTAGGTATGTTAAGACTTTGTATTAAGAATGTGGGACTTTTATCCTAACCATAAAACAGTTCTGCCAGGAAATGTTGACCTGGGAGGTGATCAGTGGGCGAATCTTCCTTGCACATCATTTTAGCATATTTACAACATGACCATGCTTACATGTTTACAATCCATATTGAATTTACTCATAATGACAACATAGTATCAACTTTGGGCTAGTAAGTCCAACTCTATCCTGTCAGTAACCTGATGAGGCGGTGTTTCGTTTGGAGTCCATTGGTTGTAAGCAACAAAGTGACTAATATAAATAAGGAATTATTAGAAGGGTGTTAGGGGCTCACAGATTTATTGTGAAGGTTAGAAAATCTATTGGGTTATCAGAAAAGTCGTGACGCATTTTTGCAACGAAAAACAGAAAAAATATGTCATGACTTTTCCAACAACCCAATAGCTTGGGAACCAGAGTGGCTGCAAAGAACTGAAACAGCAGAGGTAGGCCACAGGAATGATCCTGAAGCCGAGATAGCTGCTTAAGCACTATTGCTGGAATAAATAAACTCGAGCCATATTTGGCTTCTTTCTCTCTCAAGATTCAAGTTCTAGGGAGGGAATGTCAGACTGGATTAACTTGAGTCATGTGCCGGTACTTTACCAGTATGCAGTAAGAGCAAGCTCATTCCTCAAAAGGAAGTTAGAGGGGTATTAGGAAAGGGAAGTGAATTCTGGGCAGCCAAAAAAACAATTGTCCCTTATGACTGTATTTTACAGAAGTAACTGAGAATTAAGTTAAGTGACTTCCCAGGGTCACATAATTAGTATGGTTAGTAATCAAGCCCAAGTTTGTGTGTTGCCAGAACCTAACATCTTGACTCATACTGCTTATAATCTAAGGAAGGGGTATTTCTCACACTCAGGAGACCCCCAGTAGGGATACCGTGTTGTGGTAGAAAGGACGTGGAACCTGACAAAAACCTAGAGTTGAATCTATGAGCTATCATTAGTGATCTAAAATCACTTATTTCCACATCTGGGAAGGAAGATAGTGATAATGTATACCTTAACAGTGGTTGGCAAATGGAAGGACTTCTGTGTATAAGACCAACCAATTCAGTGCCCTATGCATAGTTAATATTAGTGTTCTTTCCCTAAGAAAATTTAACGCCCTGGTTTGGCTAGTTGGGCTCACTAACAACTGAATGAGCCTGCCTGTTGCTTGAAGCCATCAAGGAACTAACAGGATGATTTTTCCCTCTGCTCCTGAATGAGTTGTTAGGTTTTGGATGGCACTGAGGAGACAAGATCTACCTAGGTGTAGACTAAAGGCACATAGAGCCTTTCACAGAGAAATTTGCCTTCTTGGACATTATTTCTCCCAAGCCTACCTGTTAGCCAGGAGCCTCTCAGATTTGGAGACTCTCTGGAGGGCCATGTGTCTTGAGCATGGTTTTGGGAACCCAGGAAGTCCTAAGTATGGTATTGGTCACATGAATGGCTAGGAAAATGTAAGGGGAAGTCCCTGAAGGCAGAGAAGTTGGTCTCAACTTTGCCTAGGGGAGTCTGAAGAGCAGAATTTTGGGGAAATGGCTTTCTTCACTTGGCCTGTAATTTGTGCTTGGAAAGGCAGGTTCCGTTGTTAGCAGACCATGCCTGGATCTGCCTGTTCCGGATGTGTAGTTTAGTCAGTTGGTCCCAGTGTTTTCTATAGCTTTCTGTCACTGCCTGTGAACATTTCTTACAGTTCTACAAGCTTTAGAGCCAGGCAAGACTGCGACGTGACCTGGCTCTGCCTCATCATAGTTTTTTGTCTCTCTTTTGACAAAAACAAAACCCTTAACCCCTCTCATTTATCATCAAAAGACAGCTAACATTTATCACTATGTGCATCATAATTAAGCAGTTAAGGATTATGTCATTTGATCCTCTGTACCTTTTTCTTTTTTAGTTGAGATAAAATTCACGTAACATAAAATTTACCATTTTCATCATTTTAAAGTATACAGTTCAGTGGTTTTTAGAACATTCACAGTGCTATGCAACCATCATCACTATTTAATTCCAGAAAATTTCCATTACCCCAAAAAGAAATCCCATATCTGTTTTTGTTAGTCACCGACTCCTAATTCCCCTCTCCTGGCAGCCACTAATCTACTTTCTGTTTCTATGGATTTGCCTACTCTGGACATTTCATATAAATGGATTTGTATAACATGTGCCTTTTGTGATTGGCTTCTTTCACTTTGCGTAATGTTTTCAACTAGTATGAAGTACTGATACATGTTATGTAACATGTATCAGTACTTCATACTAGTGATAGGAAACATATTACTTGCAAAAGTAGCCCATTTCATTTAGAACAGCTCCAAGTATTGGCAGTTTTTCCTGATGTTAATGAGTTACTCCAGTAACTTATACTGGTTCTGCTTGGCACCCCTGAATATCCTTTCAAGTGTTTGAAGATCATTTTCTTTTCTTTTTTAAAAAATATTTTATTGGAGAATTGGGAGAGGGGAACAGTGTTGGGGACTCGGGGAAGGGGAGCAGACAAGTTGCTGTTCTTTGGTTCTTCAGCCTAGTTGTGGAGGACGTCGCCTCACTGGCCCATGTTGGTATTATCATTGCGCTCTTCCTGAATGAGGCAGATCAGTCGCTGGCCTCTGGACAGCTGCTCACAACGGCTCTTTGCAGCTCACACCGGCTGCTGGCCACTCACGCTGACTGCCGGCCACACACGGTAGCTTATGGCAGCCCACTGCAGCAGGGGCTGCAACCTACGCTGTCGCTGGCAGCTCACGGCAGCCCAGCTCCAGGTTGAGCTGTTGTTTGGCATCTTAGCTGTAGAGGGCAGTGTCAGTGGCCCTCATGTGGGATCCGAACCGGGGCTCTGCTGCATAGAGCTGGCGTCCCAAGCTAGCTCTTAACCAACGCACCACTCAGCCAGCCCTTGAAGATCATTTTCATTCATGTTTCTTTCCTAGCTCTAAAAGTTTTTTGTTATACTTGCTAGATCTGATTTTCAAGAAAAATTAGAAATTTGGGTTTTACATACTGCCACTCGTTTAATGTTTGCTCAGATCTATATCATTTCCTGTAAAACATCCACTACAAGCCAAAAGCTGCCCATAGCCTACCAATTTACAGCTTCTGGTTAGCTTCAATTACTATAAATTAAGGACATGTTAGGATTATTGAGATATAATTAATGTACCATTTAAAGTACACAATTAATGGTGTTTAGTACAGTCATATGCTGCGTAACGATGTTTTGGTCATCGGTGGAGCACATACACAACAGTGGTATACCATCTAGCCTAAGTCAGTAGTAGGCTGTACCACCTAGGTTTGTGTAAGTGCACTCACTCTGTGATGCTCACACGACAGAATTGCCTCACAACACATTTCTCCCCATCGTTAAGCGGCACATGACTGTATATACAGAGTGGTTCAGTCATCGCCACAATCAATTTTAGAACATCTTTATCACCCCAGAAGAAACACCATGCCCTTTAGCCATCTCCCCCCGGTC